TAGGAAATGAGGAAATATGCTTCTTCCTGTTGCCTATAGATATATGGAGAGTACATAGATTTATAGATATAGCTACATACAGTAATAAACTCTCTTTTCTGCTGCTGCAGAACCATTTCCCAACATTGTGAGGGGAACAGTTCCTTCACCTGTGAAAATACCATATTTGGGGAACTGAGCTGGAAGACTACAGTTCCTCAAGCTCTATGGAACATCTTTCCTCTCAAAAGAAAAAAAAAAAAAAAAAAAAAAACCATCTCAGTAACTAGTTAGCCATGAATAACTCCTCTAAAGCTAAAAGTTGAAAAAGGTATAAAGCATGATATGGTTGCATATACTTTTAAAGCAACAGTTTACAACCTCACCTCTATGTTGTCTTGTCCAAATTGTTCTAAGGCTTGTTCTTCTGATAACCCACAACAGCCATATTCCAGAGGTGTGAACACTGTAGTTGGCACATTTATGTAGTCACACTAAAATTTAAAACATGAAGTAAGAGTCAAAAAATTACAACTGGAAGGCCAACAACTACATATATTTTAATTGGGCAGTTTCACTAACCAGAACAAAAAGTGATAACACTTTAGCACACAAGGTCTTGGAAAATATAACTATACAGCACAGAATGTATGCATATATGTGTATACATACTCTATCATGCAAATATCACATTCCAATCTTTTCCATATAAACATATACACAGATGTGGGGGGGGTCAGAGAGAGAGAGAGGGGGGTATATATTTCTGTATACGTGGTGTGTGTGTGTGTGTGTAAAGACTGGAATGTGACATTTGCATGAGGGAGCATTCTAACCAATAAAAATCTTACTGGCATCAACCAGCAGAAGCTGCAAAGGTAAACTGTCAAATAGATAAATAAAGTGGCAGTTGACTGTCTGTTGGTTAGTTAGGTTGTGAGTTTATTAGAGAGGATGTCTGTTAGTCCAGGGGTCCCCAGCCCCTAGGCCATGGGCTAGTACTGGTCAGTGGCCTTGGAAGGGTTGGGATGTTGGGACAGATTAGTGGCAAGCAGGAGGTGAGCGGCGAGAGAAGCTCCGTCTCCTGTCAGCATGCTCCTATTAGGTTCTAAGCTGCTACTGATCTAACAGGAGGCGGAGCTTCAATTGTAGCTCACATCATGCTCCTGCTCGCCATTTCCTTTATGAGCTCGATTCAAAGCCATCCTCCAACAACCTATTGCATAACAAGTACCCCCCCCCCCTGGAAGAATAGTCTTCAACTAAACCGGTCCCTGGTGTCAAAAAGGTTGGGTACCACTGTGTTAGACAGTCTAGAACAGGGGTCTCAAACAGGCGGCCCGGGGGGGGGCATTTGCGGTCCGCTGGATGATAGTTTGTGGCCCCCGCCTTGTCTCCCCCCTAAAGCAACCCATGCGTCCTCTGCTGTCAAGAGTCAAAAAAAGCCTCGCCTCACTCAGCTATCTCCCAAGACAGCGCCTCTTGCACCCTCCATCCAGAACTGCAGCCTGCCAGCTAGCCCACCTGTCTGCCAGTTGGCAGGCTGCAGTTCCGGATGGAGGGGGC